ACTATGACGAACTATGAAATCAGAAAATATTTAATTAAGAATGGGTACAACTGATATAGAACTGATTTTTTGTCTATGTAAATGGATAGGATAATCAGGATTAAAAGGGAATCTCTCTCTCTCTCTCTCTCTCTCTCTCTCTCTCTCTCTCTCTCTCTCAGACATGTAAATTTCAGTATCTTGTGTAATGAAAAATCTACTATTATAGAATATGAATTCTGTATGTACATGTTAATGGTAATTATAACCAAAGTTCCAGATTTAATTGTATAACGAATTTATAATTCAAAGGCCTTAGTTGCAATAATGTCTCCGAATAAAATCAAGGGGGGGGGGGGGGCTTCAAAAGAATTACATACTCGGTAATTTTATGTTTTATGAATTAAAAGGAAAATACTTAAGGTTGCATACGTACATACATATAATTATATAGCATTGCATAAAATTGTGTTCATTCGCATACTTTATCTAACATATCAACAGACCTGCAGATGTTTTTGTATCATGTTTTTAGCGTAGCATTATTTCACACAGAAACGCGTAACTTTCACAGAATGTTAACCCTTTGAGTACTAGTATTTCACAAAAATCCAAGAATCGCTTTTTCTCATCTTTAATAACTTCTCGGGTATATAAGAGTATAGATCATGTATAATAAATAACACTATAAGACTTTTAATCAAGAAATATACGTGTTAAAACCAAATCCAATCTATAGATTTATTTTCTTTCTTTTAAGTTGCAGATATCAATTTATTTCTAAAGGCTTTACAAGGGTATTACATTACTCTTATATCTCTCAGTTCCCTTTTGAGTACACATAATATTTTAGAATCGAAAATAAAACTCGTATTCCGGGATAATTTCGCATTCAAATTAGAGAATGAATTAGGAATATTTTTTTGAAATATAATCATAACAGACATTACAGATTTACACTACGCTGACAACTTTAAACTATGCATATGCTGAAAGCAGTAACCAACGTAATCTTTCATGCAGAAGTGGATATGGAAACTCAAAGTCTAAATATTTTTTTTATGTGAAAAGTGTGGATATAAACGTCTGCGACGTCATGGATACTACCTCCGCCTTTATCTCGAAAGTTCTATTCCCACTTACAAGTCAGAGTTATCTATCTTTGCTCATTTTCACTACGTAAATAGAGAAAATGAATTTATTGACGGAACCATAAATCTCCAAAATGCAGAATCCGATTGAATAAATAATATGTTTAGTATTTTTGTAGAATAATTTGTATATACATCGCTGTAATGTATACTGCGTACACTATTATTTTCTTCAGTGCTTAGTTGACACAGAACGGATATTTTTTTTAAGATATAAATTTGTAAATCAAAAACTTTCTATATACAGACTAACACTACAAAGCCAAATTTAAACTAATATGCATATAGTGAATTATAGTGAATTAAGTAACATGCAAACGAGAGAATATTGAATGTGTAAATATGTTGATCTGGAGAGCGTATACTAGTATATGTCTCTAACGTCATCAATACTATTTCCGCCTTTATCTCGAAAGTTCTATTCTCATTCACAGGTCAGAGTTATCTTTCTTTGCCCACCTTATACATACTACGTAAATAGAGAAAATTTCAGTACCAAAAATATACAAAATGCGGAATCTGATTTAAAAACAAATTATATATTTAGTATTTGTAGAAAAATGTCCGTTTTACATAAGAATATCTTTAAAAAATATCTAAAAACAAAAAAATCAAAAATTGACCAAAAACAAATTCACTTCCGGTTCGGACAGGAAGTACTGGAAACACACGAAAACAACTTCAAAACAAATAGAATATCATGATCTAATAATCCTGTAAATTTCATATCTTAACTTCAACCCGTTTCCGAGAAAACTGCCGGACAAAAGTCCATTTTAAAATTCGAAAATCGGCCATAACTTCGGACCGGAAGTGAATTTTTCAAAAAACGGAATTTTATATAAACTTCATATATCAACCTACTTACATGGGAAAAATTGTGAAAATCTATCCAGCCATCTCTGAGTAATCGCGCTCACAAAATTTGGGAGGAATAATAATAATAATAATAATAATAATAATAAAAAGAAACAATACAAACACTATAAGTCTTCCGTTGTGAACGGAAGACTTAACTAGAAAGTCTGCTATTGCAAGCAATAGCATATGTCGCCCCGTATTAGACAAGACTTTCATTTTTATCATCACTAAAACAAAAGTCCATAAGCTAAGTTTGAACAACCATTGAGTTATATCAGTCCTTTCTATTGGAAACGGAAGACCTTAATTCGGTACATCCCACTCATTATTTTTAGAATCGGTAGGAGAAGAAAGTAGTGCAGGAAAATTACAAGTTCCTCAATTTGCAGACTTGCATAAAAGAAATCTGGCAGATGTACTGAACTGAGCCTCATACTTGTTAATTGGCAGTATCTTTCCTATGATAAAAGCTTGGGAAATGTAATTTATGAAGAAGATCAGCCGAATTATTTTGTGTATTGTAACGCCAGTGAGAACTCTGAAATTTCCCTCTTTCACTTTCATTTTAGAGGTTCTACCGAAAAACGAATCTGACATGCCACCATCAATTCGAGCATTTCTGCATTGCAGAGAGCTGATGTGTGTTATGAGATAATAAATCATGTGTGAACTTTCTCAGTTTAGCGGAATCATGAACATTTTCGTCGAGATGAATGTTTTGTATACAGTGGTGATCAAGGCTTTGCGAACCATCAGGAGCGGATCAAAGAATTTATGAATGAATAAAAACTATGGAAATGACGTACCAATTTTTTAATTTATACTTGCACTATCTAATGAAATGAATAATATACAAGTGATAGATATACAAGAAAACGCGAAATGATAATAAATGCAGCTGACAATCGTTATTTTTTTTTTATATAGATAAAATAAAAGATTTATAAATTCAAGAGACAAAACAGAAGGAGAATGAATGATGGCAAAATATCACATGACGGGAACTGAATTTTATGAATGAAGATTTTAAAAAGTTACTTGTAAGTTGTATATGTTATATCTGTGTATTCTACTTGGCTGTGTGCTTCATAAAAAGAGGGGGGGGGGGCGTCTTGAACATAGTAAATAGCCATAACGTTTGAACGGTAAGTACTAGGGCTTTCGTATTTCAAATATGTAATCCTTGTGAAAAGAACTTTTATTGGATACGACGAACTTTGACCCTTTGACCTAGACCTTGGAGAACACATGTGTACATCTGAATCTTTTTTTCTGTTTCGTTTCTATGGCAACCGTGAGCGACTCATTACAATTATTTTGAAAGTAGAAATCACTTTGACACATTGCAAGGAATAAACATTGAAAGTTTCAAAACGATTGCCTGAGTAGTTATTGAGAAAATCGAAATTAAAGAATTTTAACTTTCACCTGGTTTCCATGGCAATAATCGATTATATGAAAATTTTAAATACGAGTTGCAGAACTACAGATACTAATCATTAAAATAAGAAAAGTTTCATGACGAACGTTTAAGGGACCAGAGAGAACACTCTCGGACAAAATTTGTCGCTTTTTACAGGTTTCCATGGCAACGGTAGACATATTGGAACTGAACGACCTCACTGCACAACTACAACCAGTGATCGTCCTTGAAGGAAAATTTCAGGAAGATTGTCCCAGCCATCTCCGAGAAACAGCCTGGATAAAAAAAACATGCGTACAATATCAATATGTCGTCCCCGACTTCGTTCGGGGCGACATAATAATAATAATAAGAAGAAACCGAGTAAAAACAATATGTTCCCAAACTCCGTTTGGGGAACATAATAAGAAACAGAGTAAAAACAATATGTTCCCCAACTTCGTTTGGGGAACATAATAAGCATATTAATCTCATTTGAATATCTTAATTAAGGATTCTGTCAGACAGGTCTAGTGCCTCTCTCTCCAAGTTTTTGTTTTTAATGTGACCTTCACTTCTTTAAAGCCCAAGTGAAGCAACTTTTATTTCACCTCTTACGCAAGGACCTTATTTTTATAGTGATCTACATGACTGTACCTTTTTGCACGATCTATGGTTTTATTTTGTTTTAAAACCCCTTAAAGTGTTAAATTTTGAAAGTTCAAAATTTTAATTTATAAGTAGCCCAAATGTTTTTTATGTGCTATAGTTTATAGGAGTATGTTGAGTAAATGACGACAAAGAATTTTAAATTTCTTTTTATCTGAGAATGTCAAAATAAAAAGATTAGTGATATTAACTTTTTTCTCTGATTTGGATTAAGGTATCTCCAAATTAAAGTATATAAAATGAAATATAACTGTCCTAATTCACCGTATATCAGGAAATTTTGGCAACCAACTACATTTGGCATTATTTGAAATAGTCATGGCACCTCTAGTATAAATTACAAAAATTGTTTAAAAATAAATTTAGGAATCCAAAGAGGTAAAAAAAAAACGATAATGCTAAAAAGCAATTAGGCTTAACATGTAATAAATGACCACTTCAAAGACAAAATCACAGAATTTGCCTGTCGCTAAAATTACCCGTTATACGGAATTCAAATATTTTATCTTGACATTAAGGATGTGATTGTGTAATCAAAATTTCATAACAACATGCGAAAAATAACATTGTTAATTATTGGAAATCTCAAAGTCATAATTAAAAGTCTTTCATTTCCAGCTGTGAGCATCTACAGTTGTCAAACTGATGCGAGTTTTATCGTATTGGTTTGCCATTGGTAAGAAAAAAAATCAACATGATAACCAAATTTCTATGTACTAACAAGTCCCCACCTAAAAACCCCAATACAGCAATTCAAAACACATGGAAAAAGTTTAACTATGGGATATTCTTAATATTCAACAATCATATCTTGACGTGCTTGAATGAATTTTCATAAACAAGAGTAGTGTAAAACTTCATAAAAATCGACAAAATTTTATAAATTAGACATTTTTCTATTTGAAAAATTAAAACATTTTCTTAAATTGTTGTCTCACCTGATTCGAGGGGAAAATTCTGTTGAATAAAGTCATTCCGACTTTCTGGAAATATACCTATGTCACTGAAGTTGAATGTCATGGGTAAAGTTTGGCGGTAAAAATTAATCAGCACATTAAACCCAAGATGACTCGAAGAAAATCACCATAGAGGTCAATTGAAACTAAAAGAATATCGGAAAAATCCAGTTCTAGTACAATGCTACAGCACAGGTGGGGATGCAGAGACTGTGAAGATTTCTCAAAATGTCACAAATGACGTTTCTTTCACACACAGATATATTTTAACGAGAGAAAATAGCATTTTTTAATCAGAATCATTAGAACGATTTTTGATTCGTACAAAGTGAATCCAGTAAGATTGTAATTCGAAGATAACATAGAGAAGCGATGAATGCCTATCAGTGCTGCCAAACTGAAAAAAAGTGGTCTTCGGCTTTCTTAAATATCTGATCAGAAATGCCGCTGTTTGACTTCACGGAAGACTTAAAATTACCATAATTTTTCTTAATATATCAAGCATCTCCGTATCCAACAAGACGAAATGAAAGGAAACATGCACGAAGGATAGCGCCGTGTGCTTCCATTAATGGTCTGCCCGTCGCTAGTATATATCAAACTGGTTCCGAGATTGCTTCGTGTTTGCGATGGTTAAGCGGCAAAATGAAGCCCACAAAGTCAACGAGAATTCTCAGAGAACGGAAAGAGAGTCCATGACTAAATCCCTTAATCATTTAATGCATGATGATGTCAACTGCTATATTTTCTTTTTTATTATTACGATGAGCGACACGAGATGTATTGTTAAATGGGAAAGTGTCCATTAAATTAAATATAGATGCAACGAAAAAGAAAGTCTTAAAGCTTTTAACGGTGATATATGGAATCCCTGTAACGAAGACAACATTATCTACTTGACAGATGGCGGAAGGCTGCGTACGTACTCTAGTTGGTACTGTTCTCATAGAATGACATATTTGAAATATTGGTGTTGCAAACCCGCCAAACATATGTCTATTTCAAGAAATTAATACAACTTCAGAAATAACCTTGTAAAATGCTGAAAAAGGTTCCATCTTATCTGAATTGAAAGCGAGTCAATTAATTAACCACAACTTTTCTGTTACTGTATTCATTTGGATGCACATTCGGTCGAATAGTAAATACAGTACATGTACATGCACAGTGAAATGAGCAAGACTTGAGTTACATATCACTTTAAAAAAGGCTTAATATTGCATAAATCCGAATCTTTCAATAACAAGTGATACGCATGATTCATATTCGTTAGCAAAATCGGCCATAGAATCTATTTTTTTGGAAAGTTTATATATAATGTAATTGTGATAAGCTTCTATCAGATCTTCTTGATGTACTTTGTCTCACAAAGTCATAAACAATTTTACATAGACTGTAATGTAGGAACTGTTTTTGAAATGTCGGAATTGGTATAATGTAACATTTACTTAGTAGTTTGGTCTTTGCTGCTGACCAGTCAGAGTCAAGTGCCACAAATCAATAACAAAACCTTTTCTCTCAATGAGATTTTGTCCTCAAGGTAAATTGTAGCTTAATCAAAATCTGGCTAGAAATGACTAAAATGCATGATATGAATACATGTATGAACTCATTTTAATAGGATGGTGAACTTATACAGTCATGTACACAATATAAAACAGGCAGAGTGAATAAAAAATCGAAGGACTAAGATCAACGTTTGACAACTTTTTTTTTTCATTTATAATATGATTACATTCTAAAGGATTATATTATAATATGACTACATTCTTAAGGATTATTACCAAATATATGTATGTCTTTTAAAAATAGAAATAGATTTTTATGTCTTACACAATTGCTTACTTTCTGGAAAATCTGAAATATTTGTCATAGTCGTATGATATTTTTTGTGAAAAGGTCCACTGTATTGCATCGAACACAGTTGTTTCTTTTTTTCTCTCAGATGTCAAACATTTTGAAGAAAAAAATATCCCACACAGTTCGGAAAAGTGAAGGTTATGAGCTAAAATTGTTTGATTTCTTATGTTTTTATGAGATCAGGTAGTTTGATTTTCCTCTTTTAGGCAATCTTGCAAATTCTACAGTCTTTTGGTTCTAGAAGCTCATATGCTATTTCTTTTTTTATAGTTTACAAAGTTCACAATTTGTGTAGCACACAGGTCTACAATTGTACAATAAAACCACCCTACAGCTATCTTTGCATATCATTTCCCAATTATATCAGTTACAATTTTATCTTATTACATAAAAACAGTAGATGTCTGTTCTCTGTTTTTTTTTTCTAAAATTTTGACTACCTGATGTAAAAATAAGTTTTTGTAGCCCACCGATAACCCTCTCATTCATTCCACCTGACTGTAAATGTGAGGTGTTTTAGAAGACGCCAAAGATTATCTGTAATATGCAAGATGTGAAATGTTAAACTTACAGATGCCACAATGTGTTGGGTGTTTTACCGTTAGATTGCAGACTGAGTGATGAAGCATGTCATTTACCAAAGCTATTTGTTTCATCAAAAGTTCTTTTTTAAACTACAAACACATTTTACGTCATGACCTTCACCTCAGAAAACATTTTTATAAAAAATATGAAACAAGTTAAACATAGATGCTTTTTTAAAAAAAATTCCTGCATTGCTGTTACCACATATCTAATGTATCAGATATATTACTCTATATAAATTACTAGTGTGTACTTTAATTCTGAGAAAAAGCTGTTGAAGGAAATCAATACTGAGAATTTTGGTTATCAGGAGGCCCATGGGCCACATTGCTCTCCCGATCATAGGAAAGGAAAACGCAGAACTTCAGTTCCGTTCAGAAAAGATAAATAAATATACATATGTGGTCCAAACCTATAAACCGGGAGAGGGAAGGGGTGATTCAAACAATCTTAAATCTTTACAGAGGGTGCCATCTTTGCTAGCCAAAGGTTTCTGATACGATACTCTCCCCATAAACCCTTGGGATACAGTGTTAAAAAAAATGGGATTTTTTTTCCTCAAGTTGTAATTGGAGTCGATTGCTCCACCAATCGGCAATTGTTTTTTGTAAATGACGATATCTGGTTCTTGACTCTTCAATCCGCAAGTAAACTACGATCACATGCTATTCTATGAATAGATATGGTGTCATCCAAAACCTTAAGATCTGTGCAAAATATGAATTAGAATCTATATTGAATATGTATATTTGCACTTTAAATATCAAATGAAAAATCAATACCTTCTTATTAATAATTCTTTAAAATCTTTCATGATTTATGACGCAATTCGTGCGTACCTGTTCAAAATTCGAGACCTAGCGACAGTAACAATCCCGTCTTTTCACAGCACCGTATTCCATGGGCTTATGAGGAGAGAAGCGTATCAGAAACCCTTGACTAACGAAGATGCTGAGGTAGCCTCTTTATTGAAAACAACTCATTTATTCCTCAAAAATTACGTCGATATAAATTATAACTTTTGATCGGATACAACTTCCGGTAGGGGGGTAGGGGGTAGGATAAAATCAAAGACTTCCGAGTATTCCATTCCGAGGTCTCTAGTTTTATCCCTTATTTATAACCCCAAGTGGAAGTTTGTATCTCATTTAAAATCTTAATGTGTGTCGAGGTAATTTTCGAGGAAACAAAAAGTAGTTTACAAAAAGAGGCTCGACCAAAGACGTCTGAAACGATTTGTTTGACAAGAAAAAAGTCTCTCAAAGCGAACAATGTAATTTTAAAGTACTAGATTAGTTATTGATATATTAACAAAATACGAGTCTGAGGCGGGGGTGCCTGAAATGGAGTTAGATACCAAGTGGTAAAAATAAGAAGGGCTGCCCTGTACACGAACAAAGTTTTTGCCTGTGTCAGTAGAGCTAAAAAATTAAGTCATTTCATCCAAAGTTCTTGTAACAGAGTGGGCTATTTTCTCGTTGACAAACCGCTTAAGAAAAAGTAACTATTCACTTTTGTAAGGGAAGTATAATAATGGACCGCAATTCTTTTCATATTGGCATCGAAAATTGTTGAAGAAAAACGTATTTTGTTTGTTGACGTCTCTCTCGAAAAATTTTCACTCATATGGAGACGCCACCATTTCTCGAAGGATAGCTCCAAATTTTGTCCTATACTCGGCACTTACGGCCATTGAGAAGTGAGAGCTCTTTTTTCGTGCCATCACCTGCTGCGACACAAGACCTCGGATTATAAGGTGTCATCCGAAGGGCCGGTCTGTATGTCCCACAGTGGGATTTGAACACGCGAAGAAAGGATCCCAGATTCTAGACTCGAGAGCAGAACCATTACCAAAATCTCGAACCCGAGCTGAAATGCGTAACGTAAAAACACGTGAACGTGATCGAGAGGGTGACATAACAGCTTCCGTCGGGGGGACATAACTGTTTCCGACGTGTGACATAACCGTTTCCGGTGTGATTCAGCAATTTTTAGGGTTTATAGCGAAACTTGTTACATTTGTGACAATAACAGGAAAACTTATCTAAAAATGTTATATCAGCTTTTATTATATTTACAAGCGTAATGTTGGGAGAAATTTCCAACACGGGCTTTAGAACTACTTAAGTATCTCAGAGATATCAGAATTGCTGCCACTAGGTAGGTCAAACAATTGGTTTAAATATGACGAGCAATTTCGTTTAAAAAATGGCCAACCAGCCCCAGTTTTCATGGATCAAATTGTAACAAATGTGTTTTTGTGCTCAAAGTGTCAATAATAAAGTTATGAAACTTAATACAGGTGTATCATTCCAAGTGTTTATATGATAGTATAGGTCTGGATCTGAGTTGTCTGTTTGTCTGCTATCTTAGTAGAGGGTCGACTTTAAGCAAAGCGCTTGCGCCGCAAGTGCATTTTAGTAGGATAGTACAACTAAGCGGACAGTTGTGTAAAGGGATCATACTCCCTGTATCTATAATTAATTTCATTTTTATCCCTCACCTATTCACAATATACTCAATAAATATTTTGCTGGTGATTCATGTTTGGAATTTAACTAACCAGGGTAAGTTTTAGATAAACGCTTCAGATTTGTAACGATCACAGGTCTTTCGAATAAAACCTTTAAAAACTGGTTTCCTGTGTCAAGTGTTGATACAAAGTCGAATTTTGTAAAACTTCAACTGAGTAGTTGAAGCCTCATGAAAAATTTCTCAAATGGGATGTAACAATGTTATTAACCAATCACCCTCTGTTCGAAATAAGAAAAATTGAAAGGAAGAAAAGGTATACCCCAAAGATAAAAACGTTGACAACGGGGCGTCCGAACAAACTATTGCAATAATCTAGATTTGTAACACGCTCAGTCGCCATCATAATCTAATGGACCTTACCTTTACATCTGCCTTCTGGTGTAGTTGGTTCTAGTGTGTTGATGCAGATACATTTTCCACCGAAACAACTGGCTTCCCCTGGGTACGGACATTCATCACCAATGTCGGGATTACAAGGGCGGTAAGACAAAGCTGAAACAGTACATAAAATCAATTTGTTATTGTATATAAAACACTACATGTCTGTTAGTATAATAAAGATATAAGCCTCGATTTTTTTTCCAAATTAAAAAAATATTCTATCAAATTGGTGAAATACATGTATAAGCCTGTTAGGGCTAAAGGGAGAGGGGAGATATTCTCCTGCCCTTTGACAATTAAAAACCGTTAAATATAAATGCACACCATTGAATGCCAAACCATTTGGCTGAAACAGGAATTTACAATGATATAGTTTTTAGTCTCCTTGGTACTGTCTCCCGTTATGAAGTTAAGGACAGACAGGAATTTACATTTTTCTAAGATTTTGTCAA